TTTCACTTTTTATTTTGAGACAGAGTTTTCATTAAGTTCCTGAGGCTGGCCTTAAACTTGTGATCCTCCTGCCTGAGACTCCCAAGTCGATGGAATTATAGGCATGCACCATACCACCTGCCCCTTGCTTTGTCTTGAAGTCCTGATGTGATCTGGTTCCTGCTGGGTCCTTGCCTCCTGCTGCTGCTTCCTCAGGCATCATCTTCAGCACACACTGAGCTTCAGACACTGCAACTGGTTGCTGCTTCAGATTCTTTATTCCATCTGGAGCATTTTTCCCCCTGTTCCTGACCGAATGATTAAAGGGTTAGTTTATGAGAAGGGGGAACTGTCATGTATGTCCATGTGCTTGATAATGTTTCAAAACACAAAAGCAAAGATAATATAATTAAAATATAATTATCTGGCTTTCTATCAGCAACTGATAGAAAGCCAGATAAAAATTAGTATGTAATAAATGAAGATATAGTATGCAAAACTAACTTCAATGAGCCTATATGTAGGTTAAAGAAAACAAGAGAGGGAAGATTACCAGAGGGTAAAGTGGGCATGTTAATAAAAGGGTCAGTTTGGTTTATCTTTTTTTTGGTACTGGGGATTGAACTCAGGGGCACTTGACCACTGAGCCATATCCCCAGCCCTATTTTGTATTTATTTAGAGACAGGGTCTCACTAAGTTGCTTTAGTGCCTCATTTTTGCTGATGCTGGCTTTGAACCCAGAATCCTCTTGTCTCAGCCTCGCTAGCTGCTGAGATTACAGGCATGCACCACTGTGCTTGGCTGGTCAGTTTGTTTTGAAGAGATGTGTATGCTCCTTATAATACATCTTCTTCTTTCTCCTTCCTTCCTTCCTTCCTTCCTTCCTTCCTTCCTTCCTTCCTTCCTTCCTTCCTCCCTCCCTCCCTCCCTCCCTTCCTCTTCTCCTTCTCCTTCCCTTAAAATGTGTTTGTTTATAAGATCTGTGATTTCAACCTCAGTAATATAAAACTTAACATTTAACATTGTAATATTAAAAAATAATGCACGGATAATCCTAATTTCAAAGCTAGCAAAGAATTACAATTAATGTGTAGCTATTTTTATAAAATAAAGCACAATATTACTAAGGTCTTGAGATTATGACACATCAGTCTAAGATGCAGAGCACAAAACACTGTATTTAAATTTTCCTTTGAATGACCCAACTCTGATTTCTGTGTTACAAAACAAACTTTCACTCAATTGTTTTTAAAATATCTAAATGGGAAAAGTATACCAAAAATCATCAACAAAGACTGATTTTGATTACTCTTGGTTTCTAACCCATTTAGATAAGCATGCCGCTTAGAAATGCTTGTTTGTACAAATTAATCTTAATGTTATTATGTTCTTCAACATAAACATCAGCAAACATATGGAGTTTGAAATAATACAGGAAAAATTCTTGATAACACAGCTTCAGATAGACACAAGGAGCAAGCTTGATGGAAATAACAAGGAAAAACCCTAAACTATAATTAAAGATTTTTTTTAAAAAAATATTTTTGGACAGTTTTGAGTATCAAACCCAGAGCCTTGTACAGAGCTGTATTATAAGGAGCTTAAGTTGTATTATCAGTAGTCCTTGAATAACTGGAGATTTAAATTCATAAGATAAGCAGATAAAGGAATGAGATGCTGGCTAAAAGTGGTAAACAGGAAAATTTATTGTCTTGAGATCCATATATTAGAAAATAATAAAGTTTAGGGCTGGGGATGTGGCTCAAGCGGTAGCGTGCTCGCCTGGCATGCGGGCGGCCCGGGTTCGATCCTCAGCACCACATACCAACAAAGATGTTGTGTCCGCCAAGAACTAAAAAATAAATATTAAAAAATTCTCTCTCTCTCTCTCTCTCTCCTCTCTCACTCCCTCTTTAAAAAAAAAATAATAAAGTTTAAAAATTGATGAAATATTTGTTTTCAAAATGTTAAAAGAACACATACCCATTCTCCCATAAATGTACCAGTATATGCCCAGAGTGAATACAAGCTTGGAAAAGCGGGCAGGAGGGAGATTCAAATATGCAGCAGGGCAGAGAAGACAGAGAAGACATCTGGAACAATTAAATTACTGGCCACACAACTCAACATCTATGGCCTCGGTGATGAGTTCTGCCCGAAATTCAAAGAAGTAACACCAATCTATCCATATTTACACATTTATCCTGGATGCCAAAGTATTTGTATTCCCATCTGAACATGGTGGTATTCATGGCTACTAGACTCCGAGTTTTGCCAAATACATGGATGAAAAATGGCATAACCGTGTTTTTATTTGCTTCTTGATGACTAATGATGTTATTGATGTTCATTAGCCATTTTAACTTTATCCATTCATATTTTGCTCATAAACTTTTCAACCTTATTTTGCTTTATAAAATTTTTATATTCTTATTTTGTTAACTTTATGTTTGCAGTCTTTTTTTTTTGGCAGGGAGGAGGTACTAGGGGATCGAACCCAGGGATGATTAAGCACTAAGCCACAACCCTAGTCCCTTTATTTATTTATTTAGGGTTGGGGTATTGATAAATTGCTTAGGGCCTCAACTGGTTGCTGAGGCTGGCTTTGAACTTATGATCTTCTTGCTGACCTCCTGGGTTTCTGGGATTATAGGTGTGTGCCACCTATTCCAACTTTCAATTTTTTATTTATTCTTTTAATAACTACTATTTTTTCTTAACGAATGCTTTCATTTTTTCAACAAAATATATTCTAATAATTTTTCATTGCAGTATCTTTAGCCCTCTGATCCATTTGCAACTCAGTGAAACCCTATCTCTTAAATAAAATAAAAATAGGGCTGAGCATGTGGTTCAGTGGTTGAGTGCCCCCGAGTTCAATCCCCAGTACTCCCTCAAAAAACCAACAAGAAATCCCACAGAAGTTCCACATCTTTTTTTATTTAAATGTTCTCACCTATTGTTGCACATTTATCTTCCAAGTGCATATTACTTTTTAAATATTGATTGAAATTTTTTTTTCAACATTTTTTTTTGTTTTGTTTTTGTTTTAGTGAGAGTGAGAATTTTAATATTTATTTTTTAGTATTTGGCAGACACAGCATCTTTGTTTGTATGTGGTGCTGAGGATCGAACCCAGGCCGCACACATGCCAGGCAAGCGGGCTACCGCTTGAGCCACATCCCCAGCCCTTGATTGAAATTTTAATGAATTTGAGGGAGGAATGGATAGTTTTATAATACTGGGTCTTTCTGGTTCCTGGCATGTCTCCATTTTTTCAGGTCTTTTTAGCAAAATTTCAGAATTGTCTTCATAAAGGTCTTTCACACTTCATGTTGGGTGTATAATTCTTTTTTTTTTTTTTGAATTTTTTAATATTTATTTTTTAGTTTTTCGTCGGACACAACATCTTTGTTTGTATGTGGTGCTGAGGATAGAACCCGGGCCACACATATGCCAGGCGAGCACGATACCGCTTGAGACACATCCCCAGCCCCGGGTGTATAATTCCACTTGATAAGCACTGAAATATCGTTATTGTGAATGGAGATACCTAAAAAGACATTTATGAACTGGTTATGGGGAAAAGTTCATCAATAAGTACTGTGACAGGAACAAGTCCTGGTGTGCTGTTGCACAATACAGTTTGCAATAATGGACTGTATATTTCAGAAGGCTGGAAGAAGTGACTTTGAATATTTTCACCATAAACAGATGTTCAGTGTTTGAGCAAATTGATCAAACATTATACCATGTATACGTGTACCAAACATGGCATCCCATGTTTAATGTTTTTATGTATTGGCTAAAAAAATGAGTTCAAAAGATTGGTTATTAGCGTGGACTCAATGTTGATTTTGCATATCATAGCCATCTTACAGAGCCTTTTTATTGATTCCAAGAGCTGGTCAATTGATTATTTAAGTTTTCCCTATAGATGGTCAAATTGGCTGAAAGTGTTTTTTCTCTTCCATCCCTAAAATTCATACTTAATTTTTTAGCATTGGCTGTGAGCCTTTGGTTAACATAATCCCAGGGTCTGGGGCGTAAGTAGTTCAGTGATAGAGTACTTGCTGAGTATATTCAAGGCCCTGGGTCTGATCCCAAGCACCACAAAATAAAACAAACAAAAAGCTCTAGGATATACTCCCAGCTGAATAGAGCTCTGTGCCTTGTACTTGTAGAATTTATCCCAGGACTCGGTCCTTTTCAAGCTAGCATCTGTAATGGGCTGAACAAACCTGTATTTCAGAGAGAGAGAAAGAAAGTAAGAAAACAGATATATTTACTAATATTGCATATAGTTTATGATATAGGTTTTAGATATTTTATATTTGCATTATTTCCCAATTATGAACAAACAAACCCAGTAAACCATTATGAATACTCTCACATGTGAGATTTTTATATATAAAATCTTAATAAACTAGTTCAAAGTCCACAGTATTCTCATGAACCTTTTTGGAGATTTGGGAATGGGAAGTGGAACAGAATGGTGAAAAGACTACTAACATCATTTCGGACTCTGTGGTCTATATAAGTTGTATTTAATCTTAAACAGGACACATTCCTTATCTTCAAACTGAAAATCTAACCAGATGTGGTGGTACATGCTAGTAACCCCAGAAACTCAGTCAACCTCATCAATTTAGTAAGATCCTAAGCAACTCAGAGGGACCCTGTCTCAAAATAAAAAATAAAAAAGGGCTTGGGATGTGGCTAAGTGGTAAGTGCCCCTGGGTTCAACCTTCAGTATTAAAAAAAACGACTGGGTTACTGGGGGGCTGGGGATAGCTCAGTGGTAGAGTAATTGCCTAGCATGTGCAAAGCCCTGGGTTCATTTGCCAGCAAAAGAAAGAAAGAAGGAAAGAAAGAAGGAAAGAAAAGGGTTTTTGTTAGAATGAAATGTTAAACTGATGTGAATGTGTCAACTTCTGTATCAATATGAGAAATTACTAAATGACAGTTAAGGTATTTTTAATTTAATTATAAAAGAAAATACAATATGAACACATTAAAATCTCTAAAGCCATGTAAAACCCGAAGGCATTAAAATTTATTAAATGATGCAATAACAACAGAATTCTTTATTTACAATAGCATTATTTAACATCAAATAAGCAAATAGCATCAGCAAAGCAATATTAACTTGCATAAATGTATTTAAAATTTCTCTGAATATATCTACCTTTGCATAAACTGCTCACACTAGAAATACAAACATCAATGCAGGTGAACAAAGTGATGTTCAGAGTCAACTCCGTTTTGAAAATAAACCACAACCTGAAACACTGTAAGCTTTCTCCTGAAGAACCATAGTTAATATATTGCTTAATTTTACCCTTGTATAATCTTTTCATATACACACATCTCAGATGCAACTTTATGAGGAACTGTACAAATAAAACCCACAATGACAAAGGAAAAAAAATGACAGTTAAATGTTTGAAGAAATGTATCATCATCACTATTCAATAACATAAAGATTAAGTGATGATGCACTTATTCAAAAATTGTACACAATTCACTATACAAATATAATACATTGGACAGCTATGTAGGAATATACAAGACTTAAAAACAGATCTAAGGCATTATGCTAGATTTTAGCATTTTGAGGTTCTTGCACATAGCTTTTACCTGTAGTAAGAAACTTAAAAGATTTTGTTTTAGTCTATAAAGAAACACCAGGGAGAAAAATTCTAATTAAAATCGAAGCCACTACAGTAATTTTCTTTTGTGCAGAGAATGCTTTGCTCTTAGGCAGCATACTACCATACAAACACTAGAAAATTTTAAATTCACACCAACAATTAATGGCTTAAGTTGCATTTCAAAATTGATTGTGTATCTTTGGGTTCTGCAAGTGGATCTGTGCCACCCAGTTCATGTGTTAAGCCCATATGAACTCCATTTTTAAACACAGATTAAAAATTGCATTATATAAACTGCAAAAACATTGCTTTCAATTATTACAGGCCATAAGAGATACACGTGGTGGGAGGGGCATTTTAATCTTTGAGTCAAATGAATTCATTGTAGTAAAACAACTCACTTCACTTTTTAAACTTACCACATTACATGAACACTTAAATGGGTTTTACAACCAAGTTAATGTATGTATACTTTTCACATTATGTTTTTCACATTTAGTAATAAGTAAAACACTGATTATTTGTTCTCTTAAACAAAAACCAAGTACTCAATCTAACAAATTTATTGTGTACAGCATGAGAAATACTGATAATGAAGGGAATTGATTTGGCTTTTGCTTCTATAGTGATCAATATGATCAGAGGATTCCTTCACTTATTTCTTCTCCTAATTAGATGTAAAACAAAATCCATTACCTGATCTGAACCTTAAGAGAATTTATAATCTCTTTTCCTTCATGACAGTAATGATCATGAGTTATTCTGAACTACCAGTACCACAGATCTGCAGATTTGTCCAACTTGGATTGATGTTAAAACACAGTGGGCAGATGGATAAAAAATGAAAGATATGGAAGGTATTTTTGGATGGTAAAGTGAAAAAGGACTTAAAATAAATCCGGGTTAAACTCCATTTTCTCTTTTGTGCTGTGTGAAGCTAAAGTCAGATTCTAACTCTCATAGTTCTAAAAATTAACTCAAAACTGATCACACTAAACTGTGCACCATGTGAGCCTCATCACATGGATGAGGTCCTGGAGTTCCGGGCCCACATCTGCTTGCTTTTACCATCACAGCTGGGCAACCCAATGGTTTGGTGGAGAAAAGTAGAGCCTTTTGAGGGGACATATGAACTGGTGGCCACCGAGAAATGCTGTTCCTTGGCCACCTCCCTGTATTGAGATCCCTCTCAAAGTGGAAAAAGGTATTGAAATGCAAATTTCCAGAAGTTTCTTTAGTATGGAGCAACACTTTTAGACTGTCTACTTACCATTTATCTTTGGGTTATATCTCTTTCTATATTTCTGTAATCCGTGCATATAGAGAGAGATATAAATATAAATAGGGGTAGTTTGTACATTTTACACCCTGCCACAAATAAACAATTAATCAAATTTCAAGGAAAAACTTCTCTGTTCCTAAAAAGCCTGGCTAATGAGATATTATAAAATGCTTTGCTTTTTAGACATCAAAAAGATATCATTCTGAAATTTAGTTAAGAAAGTATGTGTATTAGGGGTTGGGGAGAAATAGCTCAAAAAGGTCATCAGTTTCTTGGTATTGCAGTTATCTGAAACTGACACCAATTAATAAAATATTATTCCCCTACCAGAGTGGGCAGAAAAACAACCATAAAAGTGGCCTGCTTAGTAACATGTAGTCTTTCTAAGGTTCATTAAGAAAGAATATAAACATATAAAAATCAAGAATTGGTTCCTACAGCGGCTGCATATCATACAGATTAGATAAATGATTTATGAGCAGAATCACAAGGTTTAGAAAATAAAAAGTCTTAAGTCTACAAATTAGGTCTAATCAAGGCATTGATATCCTTTACAAAACACCTTTAGGAGACATTGCTACGAAGATAACTAATTTAATACTGAAGTACCTCATTTTTTGAGTCAATTCCACAATATGTATACCTCACAAAAATTATACAATTAAAACACTTAAGTTCTCAACTTAAATTATTGCTCGTTTACATATAAATTGGATTTTATGTACCTTACAAAACTTCGGCTTAGTCAGCACTGCTAAAAAACAAAATAAAAAACACATGGCAGAGGTTAAATCTGTCGTGATATCTGCTGTCAATTTCAATACACTAGTTATAGTGTTTTCTCCTGTTTTGGAGGCCAGAGTTGCTGGGGAACAGAATAAACATGCTTCCAAAGCAGGTGTCCTTAGCTTGACTGATGTCAAGTCTTAACTTTGCTCCTCTCCTTGCCAGTAAATGCATTTTTCTGAAATTCAATAGTTAGCAATTGGTAAGTGGCTGGCAAAACATTTCAGGAAATAAAGGGCTTACCTGGTTTCTGTAGCTTATATTATTTTTTAAAAAATGAATGAAAGTAGGGGGAACAGGGGGAGACAAGAGTCAGAACCAGAAGGGGAAGGGGAGATGCTAATTCAAGATGATCAATCTAACGGAAACTTAATTGAGAAATGAAAAATATTTCTTCTCGAGAGAAAAAAATGGAAGAGATACTTGTTAATATTAACAGCCTTCTCACAGGCTTCTTTTCATCTGTTCAATAACTGGAATCCCTTTCCAACATGGTCTTTAGCGCTTTCTGCAAAGATACAACTATGACTTTATAGGTCTTCATTTATTGGGTGTGTCTGCACATATAGCACTGTCCACGGGGTCTGCTTCCGTCCCAAACGCAGGCTTTAGGTTAAAAACAGTTTGATTTGTTTTTAGAATTCTTTTCTTTCCCCCAGATGAAATCTTAATTTTTTTGTACTAGACTGATTAGCCAGGGAAAACAAAGCAAGAAACCAGTGTCTGGAACTGAACAGGAACAGAACAAGAGCATGGTTCTCCTTAAATACATACATTTAAATACATTCATTGGAAACGGTTATGAAATTTGCCTGTCAACATTTACTTTGCAGGAGAGATCTAAGTTGCACTAAGGTGAATGCAGTGAACAGACTGAGTGACTGTCTGGACTCGCGCTTCGGACTGAGACGAGAGGAGGCAGCTCCTCCTGCAGCAGCCGAGTGTCGCTGGGAGCCTGGGCCCAGGCCGTCAGCTCATCGTGCTCTGGGAGAACTGGCGGGCAGGTCAGTTGGGTCAAAACAAAGAGACACAGCTCTCCAGACTGGTAAGTATTTTGAGCAAATGAGCCCGGTCAGCTGAAGAAAGAAGCAACCAGCTACCTTCAAGGTCAGCAGTACTTCTGCAGGAAAACAAGCAAAATCATAAAACATCTTGAGTTTTTAATGAAACACGACAAAAACATCAAAATACTGACTATTCTAAAGGATGCAAATCACAAGGCCACATTTGGGAGAGTACAGGGATTCAAATCTGGACAAGTTTCCCACTGAACAAAGCCTTTCCTTCTTCTGGGGGGAGGAAGTAACAGGGATTGGATCCAGGAAAGTTCAATCAGTGAGCCAAATCCCCAGCTCTTTTAAAAATGTTTTCATTTGAGACAGGGTCTCACTGAGTTGCTTAGGGCCTCACTAAGTTGCTGAGTCTGGCTTTGAATTTGCCATCCTTTTGCCTCAGCCTCTCAAGTCTACACCACCGTGCCTGGATGAATGCAATGTCTCCTGAAGGATGAGGCTTAGCCCAGAGGACCTACTGTGTGGTTTCTTGCAGGAGACAGATGACAAAAGCATCATTAGTCAGTCTCTCCTAAATGACCTCTGTCCGACTACTAATGGTGTATTAGTCCTATTTCATTTCTTTCACCTTCTCAACAACTGATACAACCCAGTTGCTGAATCTTGCTTTTGAGTAGCATCCAATCCAGAAGGGGCTGCTACTTCCTAATCCTTCCTCTGATTCCTCCAGTACAAACCCACTTCCTATGAACTATTTCTCTTCTATAAGATACTTCCCAGGTCTGGTGGGTGTGCTTTCCCTGGCTTCAGCAAGCTAAAAACCTGGGTTTTGGTCCTAGGAGTGTTCCTGCTAGTTTGGTTGCTATATACTGATGATTTGGATGACAGGCTATCAAGGCTGCTGTGAGCAGGAGTTAGCTGTAGGTATTTCCTTGGTTGCTGTGATTATTTCTGTCAATGATTTTCTTTGGCTATTACCCATCTTCCTCCCAGAAGTTTCCACCTATTTGGCAAATACTGAGTACATACTACTGTGTGCCCAATGATGGGACAAGACAGTTCTAGTCACTGCAATCACAAAAATTACTGAATAGGCAAGGCAAATCATCAAATACAAATGTGATCTGAGTTCTCTGAGGGGAAACAGTAGAGTAGATGCTGTGGAAACATGTGGCCACTGCTTCTGGGATTCAGACAGTTAGCAAAGAGCCAGAGAGATTATCTAGGTTTAGTCAGGTGCGATGGTGCATGTTTATGATCCCAACAACTCAGTAGGGCAAGGCAGGGGGATCACAGATTCAAGACCAGCCTGGGTAACTTAGTGAGACCCTTTCTCAAAATAAAAAGGGCTGAAGATATTAACTCGGTGGGAAAGTGACCCTGGGTTCAATTCAGTCCTTAGTAATATGCACGTGCGCGGGCGCGCGCATACACACACACACACACACACACACACACACACACACACACACACACGCGAGAGAGAGAGAGAGAGAGAGAGAGAGAGAGAGAG